CCCGTCCTATCCAGTCCGGTACACGGTGCGGCCCGGCCCCGCGCTCTCCACTTCTGCTGCCCTCCCCTGTCCTCGGCCCCTACCCCGGGCCCGCGCCATGGCGAGCCTGGGGCCCACCGGCTCGGGCCCCGCTGTCCCCGGCCCGGCCCAGCTGCGGCCACTGCTGCTGCTACTGGTGGTGGCCGCAAGCGTCCTGCCCGGCGCCGGCGGGACATGTCCCGAGCGGGCGCTGGAGCGGCGGGAGGAGGAGGCGAACGTCGTGCTCACGGGCACAGTGGAAGAGATCCTCAACGTGGACCCGGTGCAGCACACGTACTCGTGCAAGGTGGGCCCCCGAACCCTGTGGACCCTAGTCCCCCTCCAAGCCCGGGCATGGGCTTCCCCTTGCCATCGCGGCCCCTTCGCCCCAGACCCGCCCCTGCGATGCCGGCCGCCCCGCTGGGACCTCCGCCCCCAGGTCGTGGGAACGCGCGCCCGGACGCTCCGCAGCCTCCGCTCTCGCTCCCTTGGCGACCGCCGAGCCCCCGGTGGGGCGCCGGTCCCAGAAAACTCGCGAGCACGACAGGGAAAGTTCCCGCGGTGCCGCAGCGGTTCCTCCCCCGCGGTGACCAGGCCCAGGGCAATCAGTCATGTCTGCCTGACCACCCCAAACCTACTCCCTTATCAGAAACAAGTGCACCCCTGTCAGGACTCATGACTGCCGCACCCCCTCCCCAGTAGCCAAAGAAAAGGAATAGGGAGGATGGGAGGTAGGTGAGGGTCCCTGCTGGGGTGGGGGTGGGGACCAGGCCTGTGGTCAATGCTGTCACACCCCCCAGGCCTTTAGCAGGAGAGAGAGGGGGTGGTTAGGGGAGGGGTGCCTGGCCTGGCTGGGGTGTTGCAGTGATTGGGAGTAGGGGTAGGAACAGAGATGAGGGGGGCACTTGCAGCGTCTAGTGTGTATTGGGGGTAGAAGCAAGCCTAGGTTCCCCCAGTCACAGGGACGAGGGTTTGCCTGCTTTTTTCTCAGTTGGCTCTGGGCCCCTGGGTCTCTTATGGTGGGCTTTTCCCCATTATATGGTCCAGTGGAGGGCTCTGGGGCCCTTGTTCCCACTCCAGGCCAGAAACCAGCTCCCTGGACCAGACCAGAAATCAGATCGCTCCTTCTGCATAGAGATGGGGAGAGTAGCTACTGCTGCTTTCAGACGCAGCCCGTGCAGGCTACAGCTGGGATCCCCGCCGGCCCCCTCCCCTCCACGACCTGCGGGGCACACTGCCAAGTCCCTGCAGGATTTTCCCGACTTCCTCCCTGCAGCTCCTGGGTGTGGCTGGGGGGTGGTGGTGGAGGCGACGAAAGCCACTCAGCCCCTCCTCAGCCTGGGCTACCCGAAGGCCTTTCAGAAAGCACTGCGTGTCTGTCTCCAGGGGCTGCGGGTGGGATTGGACAAGGCCCAACCTGGGTGAACAGATTGTGGAGGGAGCCTTGCAGCTACTGGAGTACCATGCAGGTGGGCAGGCCTCCCACTGCCTCTTACCCCCCCATTCCAGAAGCCTCTGACTGGGTGCAGGCTGCCCCCCCAGGTCCCCTACTTTTTGGAAGGGCTTTCTTCTCAGGGCTCCTTCCACAGGGAGTGCCTATTCCTGAGGGGCTGCCTGCCCATCCCCAGGCTGGGGCTTTCAGGACCTAGTGGGCGGCTTCTTGTCAGAGCAGGTGCCCTCGGGGCCAGAGGAACGAGAAAGAGGGTGGGGCACCCTTGGAAGCTGCCCGAACTTGACTCTGTGGTTCCCTGGTGCTCTGACTGCACATGCTATTAGAGCCTGGTGGGAGGAGGGGGCATCTACCTCAGAGGGGAGGGTGTTATAGCCCACCCACAGGGCTGGCCCAGAGCCCTATGCTGAGACTGTCCCCTTGAAGCCCCTGCTCCTGGCTTTGCTCACAGTGCACGCTCAGTAGTGGGTGGGCAGATGGGGAGAAGAAGAAGGGGCTTGGAAGGCAGATGTCCCCGACCAGTGGGCCCCCTTTGCAAGTCCAGCCTGAACTCAGTTGGATATTTCTGAGGTCTGGGGTGGCTGGAGTCAGTCAGACCTGGGAGATTGAGAGCTGCCTCCTGAGGGAGGGGGTGTGTTCCCAGGCATTATGTCCTCCTGTGTGAGGACTTCTGGCTTCCTTGCAGTTTTTGATGAGGGGGTGGGGGGCTCTGGTAGCATAGTGCCTAAGGCACTTGACTGCTAACCAGAAGGCTGGCAGTTCAAACCCACCAACCACTCCTCGGAAGGAAGGTTGGGCAATCTACTTCTGTAGTGATACCGCCTCGGAAACCCAAGGAAGGGTCGCTATGAGTCGGGTCCGACTTGACGGCACTAACAACAACAATGGGGGCTGACCCAAGGTCTCCAATGACTGCCCTGGGCTTGGGTCTACTCAGGACATCTGGTCTGAGCAACCAAGGCTGGAAGAGGTAGAAGTAGCTGCCTCTGGCTTCTGTGGGCCCCTGACCCCTAATGGGAAGGGGACGACTGACACCTACTCTCCCCATCCCCAGGTTCGAGTCTGGCGATACTTGAAAGGCAAAGATATTGTTACCCAGGAGAGCCTACTGGATGGTGGCAACAAGGTGGTGATTGGTGGCTTTGGAGACCCCCTTATTTGTGATAACCAGGTGTCCACTGGTGATACCAGGATCTTCTTTGTGAACCCCGCACCCCCATACCTGTGGCCAGCCCACAAGAATGAGCTGATGCTAAACTCCAGCCTCATGCGGATCACCCTTCGGAACCTGGAGGAGGTGGAGCACTGTGTGGAAGGTGCGAGGGGTCATGCAGTGAGGAGGGCAGCAGTGGTAGGTGGCGGCAGATGGGTGACTGGCTGTGGGCAGCGGCTGGCAGCTGGGAGGAGGTGACTGAGAACTAGGGCTCCGTCATGCTCTGGGAACAGAGCGAGAGTCTGCCGTCGGCCGGAGCACACGTCATATGTTGATCTTACTCCCCGCTTCTGGCTGTGTCTGGCCATTCCAGATCAGTGGCCTCAAGCCCTGAAGTTAGCACCCCCACCCTGCCAAACTTCATCTGGGAGCAGAAGGAGTCGCAGCCCTGCAGATGGACAGACCTCCTCTGCATTCCCTGCCCCCAACTCTGCTCACCTCCCTCTTTGAGGGGCCCTTTTCCAGGGGAGAGGGTGGGACCAGGTGAATGAACACCAGCTGTTGTTGTCCCCACAGAAGTGCAAACATCTGTCTAGACTGGGCCCAGATGTCATGCAAACCCTGCTGGTTTGCTGGGGTATGTGGGGATGGTGGGAACTGACCCATGTTTCTTTTGACTGGACTGTTGTTTCTGGGAAGGGGCAGCTTTGTGCGATAGGGGTGGGTTTGGGACTCGAACAGGAATGAAGAACCTTTTCTTGCCCTCTGTCCCTAGGTCTCTCTTTTGAATGGCCCAAGGGTGTCCCCTCCCACACCCAGCCTCTGGGAAGTGGGACTCACGTGACAGACCCCTCTCACCCCAGGACAGTCCCAGTTGGGAGCTGAGATCCTTGGCTGGGAAATGAGCCGGAGGGAGTAGGGGGAGCATAGGAACTGCTCGTCGCCCCCACATCCTGTCTGTTCCCCGTCTGCCTGGGAAAGGATGTACCCAGGCTGAGGGGTGGTCAGAAGGGTCTGTGACTTCCTGTCTTGGGGAAGGAGACCCTCCTTGCCCTCTTGGCCAGGCTGAAGTCCTGTCTTCTGTCTGACTTCCTGCTGTGACTCTGCTTGAGGGGTCTCTGTGGGTGCTGGGTAGGTAGGTACTCAGGTCCTTGGCTTCTGGCCCATGCTCAAAGTGGGGGCTGCACAGGGGAAGGGGCAGCCCTGAAATGGAAGAACCCCCAGCATCTCTCCCAGCCTTGTTCCCCTATGGGGACCACTGAGATACTGTCCCTGTTCTGGGAGCTTGTGAACTTGGAGGGTGCCTGGGGTGATAGAGCAGGGACCAATGCGGGAGAGGAGGAGGCCACAGTGATGGACGGCAGATGGGAGAGGGTTGGGGAAGGGTGATGGGTAGGACTGGCTTCTCTGGTGTTGCTCAGTTTTGGGAGAGGTGGTAAGGGGTGGACAGAGCCCAGGACGAGGTCTTTCCTATTGGGGAGTAGTCAGGGAAGGGGCAGGACACAGAGGTTGGGGCTGTGACAGCTCTCTGTCCTTCCAGATCAAGAGGGCAAATAATTCTCTGTGTGGTTGGGCGGGTCTTGCCTGAGGGTCTGTGACTCAGTAACTGAGGACCCGCCATGGGGTCAGAGGGCACCTGTTGGGAGATCACTCCAGGCAGAACATGGTGTGGCATCTGCCAAGCTGGCAGACCCATGCCAAGCCCGGGCCAAGCAAATGCCCAGGCTGGGCAGAGAATAGCTGGCTAGGAGTGAGACCCTCATCCCAGCCCCAAGTCCACCAGTGGGCTGAGGACACTGGGGAGGGGCAACCCTAAGCTGAATCCAAGACTCTGACAGTGGTCTTTGGAGCAGCCCGGCTTGGAGTGGGGTAGAGGCTACAACCACCCTCAGAAGGAAGCACCCCTGGGAGGCCATGCCCATGTCTGGGCCTCTTTGTGGGGTTCCTTAGGGACAGAGAAAGCAGGATTCGGTGAGTGAACTGAGGAAGGTGAGTGGCTGTGTCTGTTAGGCCTTGATGGGGGGGAACCCCCCCCCCCGCAAGAGGAGGGACCAGAATTGAGCCCAATGAGGGAGCTTGGGCCCCCTGTGAGGCACTGGGGGCCTTGGAAGCCTTGAGCAGGGACTGACTATCCATCTCTGCTTTGGAAGAAGACCACGGTGCCTGGGATGGTCTGGCGGTTGGGTCACATCACAGGGGACTTTATAGCACAGAGTCCCTCAGAGTTAGGGCCAGGCCTGGGGAAATTGGTTTGTGTCCAGCCCACCCAGGCTGGCTGGGGTGGAGGAGGGCCCCCTTCCTATTCTCTGGCAGATAAGATAGCTAAGACCCCACCCTAGTTACTGGGGCTGGGTGTATCTGAGGCCAAGACATTCCCCCAGTGAGGGGGTCAGACAGGACAGGGCTTGGCCAAGCTGACCCCTCCACATCTGACTCTTCTCTGTTCTCCTAGGGGGCCAAGAACTACCTTGTCCCACAGGGTGCAGGGTGAATGAAGTCTTGGTAATCTACCCTTAGCCTCCACCCCCAGTCTGTGGAGGTTACCTTGAGACCACCGAATCCTGCATTCTCTGTTCCCTGAGGACACCTACAAAGAGGCCCAGACATGGGCACGGCCTCTCAGGGGTGCCTCCTTCTGAGGTGGTTGTAGCCCCTTCCCTACTCCAAGCTGGGCTGCTCCCAAGACCACTGTCAGAGTCTTGGAGAAAGCCGCCAGAGACCACACCTTGGGCAAGACCTCAGACCATTGTGCTCAGTGGCCCCTCCCCCCGGGGCTCAGCTGCCTCCCTTCCAACCTGTGCTCAGACCCCTCCCCACCCCTCCCCACCTCTCCTTCCTGGCTGGGGCCTTTGGTCTACTGCACAGAATGGACTTCTGGGAAGGGAGTCTTGCCCAGAACCCTGGGGAGGGTTTTCTGTGGCGGGAGTCACCCTCTGTGCGGCCCTGACTTTCCCCTCCCAACTTTGCCCGGGCTCTGTTCCTGGAGGGTCTGACCCTTGACCCTACTCCAAGAGCCTCCTGCAGAGATTGGCTTCCCTTCCTCAGTTTCTCCCAGGACCTGCTGGGACGTCTGGCCCAGTCCTGGTGAGGCCCCTCCCCCAGCTCCCCAGCCCAGCTCCTCCTCCCTAGTGTGGCCTGGGGAGCTACATTCCTGACATAGCTGAGACAGGTATGTGCCCTTCCCTCTGCTGCCACCTTTGGGCAGGGTGGGGGAGGGCCCCATCCGGAAGGAGACCCCTACTCCCCTACTTTGTCAGAGGCAGCTTGGCCTTTCCCAGTGGGGCTGCCCAGCTCCCCCAGCCAGCAGTCACCCTGTCCTGGTCTGGGTACTGCCCACACTATCCCAGCCTCCTGCCCCCTACCTTATGAAGGCACGTCCTAGGGCTCCCCTGAAGCCCCCAGGAAAGACTCCTCAGCCTGGGCCCACCCTTCCCACAAGGGGCCAGGATTAGAGAAAGGAAGTGTTGTCTGCCCTCTGCTGAGGCCTGGCTGGGGAACAGGGCAGGGGGCCAGGGTCGGAGAAAGTCTGGCCCAGGCCCAGGCCAGCCCTGCCCAGCCCTGAAGCTGGGGGTCCTAGTGGCGAGACTCCAGCCTGGAGGACCCTCCTTTTCTCCCTTCTTGAAGGGGTGTGCTCTCAGCCCCAGAAGCAGCATGAGCTTTAGGGGAGCAGGGCCTTCAAGAGGGCAGCCTGGGCTCAGGCCTGGAGAGGAAGCCAGTCTGGGCCAGGCACCTCTGGGCCTCCAAGCAGGCCACTGGGCTGTGGACAGGTGTGGGTGGCCACAGCCCCAGATAGATATCAGGGAGGTTCTGGGCTGGGGGGACCTGGCAGTCGGACACTTTTTTCTGCCCCCCATTCCTCCCTGCTAAGGCAAGGGTGGGTGGTCGCTTCTCACTGTTTCTGGTTCCCTCCTGGCCCCATCCTGGCTCAGATTCTAGCCCTGCCCCTCTGGACCCCACCCAAGCTCTCCTAGCTCGCCCCCAGGCTGCAGACCCCCAGAGGAGGCAGGTCTGGGCTGGAGGATGGCTGGCTGGGAATCTCCCTTGTGAGGCTGGGGGAGGAGTCTACCCAGGTGGGGAGGCCCCATGGCCTTCTCACCTGGGGGTTCCTGGTAGGAAGTGAGATGAGGCACTCCCCACGAACAGGAATGGACTTGTCGGCCTTTTGCTCAGCTCAGGCCTTTTGCTCAGCTGGGCTCGCCCGGCCTGGGAGTTGCTGGGGCAGCCTCAGTTTGAAACCACAGGGGTACAGTGGTGGCCAGGGTGGAGATCCTGCTTCCCCCAGTAATTCTCTTTTATGCAGGGAAAAGTGGGCGGGGCTGAGTTGGTGGAAACTGCTCTAGGCTTTTTCCAGACTCCCCTACCCTACCCCCATGGTGGAAGAGAGGGGGCACCTCCATTCTCCCCTGCTCCTGGGCAAATGGAAACAAAGAAAGTGTCCCACCCTCCTCTGTCTACACTGGCTGCCCCCCTCAGCCTCCTGCCCCCTACCTTATGAAGGGCATAAGTGTACTCTGTGGGACTTGCCTATACCCTCAAAGCATCCATGGAGGGAGACTGGGTTGAGTGGAGGTGCCTCTGTCTATAAGGTCACCTCTGGCCATCCCCTTGCTGCTGTGGGCCTGCTGCCTCCCTTCCTTCCTGAAGGATTAACCCCCCAAGCCCCTGAGAATCAAAGTTTGCTATCACAAGCCCCTCAAGGTGGAAAACAGCTGCAAAAGAAGCTGTCCCTCCGCCTGTCCCTTGCCTCCACCTGTGGGAACCTGGCTACCTGTCTCAGTTCAGAGGCTGTGGCTCTCCCCACCCCCACTCTGGGTTCTGATAACTGGTGGGTGTTGACCCCACAGAAACAGTCGTCAGGCCTGGGTGGGGCTGGAACCCTGGCTGGGAACTACTCCCCTTCCTGCCCTGCCCTCCCGCCAAGGACCCCTGTTGGGATGGTAGAATAAGGGAGGGCGTGGGCTCTGAGTACTGCTGAGTCTGGAGGTCTGCCTGGCATAGGCACCATCTGTCGAGTAACCACTGAGGTCCCAGGGGGTGAGCTGATAGTCCAGGTGCACCCCACCTTGGCTCAGGGAGAGGTCACTTTAGAGTCCCAGGCTAGGCTGGACTGCCTGCTTGGCTGAAGGGAACTAGGCCCAGTGGCAGTCTCCAGTGGGGAAGGAA